AGCTGGTTGGTTAGCCTGGTATGAGCAGAAAGCAGGGATAGTTATGATAATTCCTGTCTATGCTGAATCCAATTGCCAGACTGGGATGCCTTCCTAGTTTTGTGGCAACAAATCCAAGATAGATCTTTCACGTTCAGCACCCTGAAGTCTGAAGATATTGCTACCTAGTACACTCAGTGGAGAAACAATAGTCTTTATACAATAATATGCATAAAAATAGATACTTACATGGAAACAGGGGTAGTTGTGGGCTGCCCCATCAACTGACTGATGTCTGCAACTGTACGTTTTTCACATGAAGCTAATTTTGGGAAATTGCTGAAAGGTTTTGGTCAGAGATGTCAAGGACGCTATTCTCTTTCCCAAATCTATTTCCTTCTTTTTAGTTCCAGAAGCACAGGCGTGGCAAGGACTTACTGGAATTAATAACGGACTTAGATCTTGATAGATGAGGTATCATGATTTGACCTAATTGGAATTCACACTCCATTCCAGCAATAATGGAATCAGTTTAATCTACACTTGTTAGAGTTGCTTTAAATAGCCTAATGCAGCTAGTAGATATGTAAAAATATGTCATTGAATTTGATGCCTGTTATGAAAGTTAATAGTAAAATACGGAGTTTTTTGGTGCATGTGTTTATTTTATCACGTTTAAAGTATATGCAGCTTCTAAGCTTTTCAGCTGCTCTAGCCATTTCATACCTCTATTGGGAACAGGCAAAAAGGACCTTGTCCTAAATACTGCTAGTTTTCCTTCTGACTCCATGTCACCTGTAGGGTGAAACAAAGTTTAGGCTCCGGAGTCCTAGGGGAGCTTGGAACCTTGCAATAACTTAATCAGCTCCCACTTAATCTGTAGAAATAGTCATTATGCAACTTTATTTCTCAGGAAACATCATGGCTGTTCCTAACAACAGAAGGAACAAATGAATATGATTGGGGGGATTGAAAAGCTTACATTGTGTATTAATTGACAATGATAGAACACTCAAGGAAGCCCCTAATCTATAAAACTTGATTGGTGAAAATTGTAACTGTAACTTGGCAAGAAGTTTTATGTTTAAATATTTGGTTCAACTGGCACTTAGGCTTTCACCTCAGTTTCTAAATCTGTTCTAAAGACATCATTGTTCAGCCCCTTCACCTTCCTCCCTCCTTTTGGCGATTAAACCTTGTCTTATGGAAGTTTCTTGTGTTTGCTTGGCTTCATTTTGAGCCTCAGATCAGAGCAAGCTTACCTAAGCTATTCAACTTATTTTTTGACCAATTAGCTGTAGTAGTATAGTATTTGCTTGTAATATCTCTAGTGTCTTCTTATTTTGTCACAGGAAATGCAACTAATGGGGTAAAACATAGTCCATGGGTGCATTACCATTTGTACAAAGAAAAATCAGCATGAGTGTCAAAATATGGAGACTGATATTTGAGGCCTTTTAAAAATATTCATGTTGGATTTTGGGATTTTGGTGTCACCAGTACAAAAATGAACTCAGTTATCAGCTCTTCATTCTGGTCTAATATTGTTGGTGTTCCCATGATTGTTCATTCTCCTAGTCCATCTATATGATCTTAACAATGCAGCTGAAATATCCTTATCTTTTTACTTACTGAATTGTTGTCAATGACACAAACTGAAAGGAAAAATAAGTAATTCTTCAATTCTTCTCTGTGAAAGAATAATTTGTTTTTATCAAAAGAGAATTTGTGATACATAAAAGGGTAAAGAATGGTCAGGTGAAAGCAAGACAAACAGCTGACCTGAAAAAGGTGGAAGCTTTTGGACCTCAAACTGACAGCTGCTAGGTCAGCATGGAACTGATCCAGACTCCCTGAATGTGGGTGTCAGTGGCGAGGCCTTGAAAATCTATGGGGCCCTGGGAAGTATATTAATATTAATCCCCGGTATAAAAATGGACTTTGTGTGTCTATACTACAAAAAAGAATGCTGTCTCAGCCTGGACCCTTAGGGGAGGGCCTAGGCCCTGCCCTGAACGAAATGTCAGACTCTGGATATTCCCTATGAGGAAGGGAGTGGGGATAAGTTGGGAGGCTGGGAAGACAGGTGGGGGTTACGGTATGAGGGGAGGAAGAGGGATCTGGGATTGACATGTGAAGAAAGCTTGATTGTAATTTTAAAATGTAATAAATAATAATAATTTTAAAAAGAGAATTTGTGTAAAACATACTCAATGAATAAGAGATTCACCCACTTACCAGTTTATATTTCCAGTGGATTTTTTTCAGATTTACAAATGAGACTCTTTTCTATCAAATATTGTTATAGTCTCAAATTTGAACATAATTAGAAACATCTTCTCTCTGAGGGATCACAAGTAATCCTGCAGCTGCATCATCCCTGTTATTGTATAGCTATCAAATGCTTAGAAAAAAAGAAGCAGCTGTTACAGGTAATCCTCAACAATCAGAAAAACCATTTTCTCAGGAGTTTCCTGAGTCATTCTTTCTGGTTTCTCTTAGGACTATCTATTTGTAGGACCATCTCTCAGCACAGGTTGTCTGTGACATGGAAATCTCACCAACATAAGAAAATTGGTCTGACTGGACTGGACTGACAGCCTCCAAAACAATACAGAGAATCACTGTCTCATAAAACCAAAAAAAATTGGTCTGAGATTCCAAAAGTCTTGAGATAGAAAGCATAAACACTCCTGAACAAACTCAAAACTTAGAGGAAACTATGCGGAACAATATTGTATTAGTGACTAGTAGTAGTTAACAAAGATGGAAATAGGAAAATGATGATAATTCTATAATTATAGAGAGAAAACACATAATGAGCAGAGTGAAAAGTATACTGAAGGTGGAAATGAGAAAGAAAAAGAGGTTTCTGTTTCAGATAAATTAAGGACAAACCAGAAAAGAGACAAAGAATTATATTAAGGAGGGGAAAGCATTTATTAAATGTTAAAGTCGATTTCTTAGTTTATTACTGCAGTAACACCAATGAAGGTGCTGAGTGAGAGAAACTTCTAATTTAGGGTCCACCTGGACCCTAAAGTGAAGGTTTATTTTTTCTTCAATATTAAGCTTCAAATATGTATGCAAAAATATTACCATATCTACTCCCATACCTCACTTCATTCTTTCAATGTCCCTGTAGCATAACTCCCTTCCCAACTTTCCTCATGCTACTATCTATATAGCTCACTAAGTGTAGTTAGTGCTATGTATGTGTGCATGAGTATAGGGCCATCTATTGTAGCATTACAATTCTACTAGTGGACACATCCTCTACAAAGAATGTTTCCACCTCTACAGAAAGTACTGAGAACAACAAATTCTCAGAATGGGGTAAGTTCTGGAAACTGTCTTCCCCATCTATACCAGTGTTTTGATTGTCATGTTTCTGTGTAGATCTTATGTGGATAAACACTGCTACCATAAGCTCATAATTGCAAAATCCATGTCATATCAAAATAGCATTTCTCAGCATGTTTCTTCATTTTCTGGCTTTTATATTTGTTCTGAACCTCTTCCCTGATAGTTTTTAAGCCTTGCAGAAGAGGGTACATTTGAATGTCTGATTTTGCCCTAAGAACTCGGTTTCTTGTTCTCATTCTGACTAATGTATCTCTTCATTATAGTCTGTGTAACACAAAAACGAGCTTTATTGAACAAAGTTGACAAGATTCAGACAAAACTAAATGCCTGTGTGTGTGTGTGTGCATGTACTATGTGTGTGTGTACCATGTGTATTGTGTACATAGTCTTTAACCTTAGCAGGAAATCTTCAGGTTTTATAAAATTCTATCACATTTTATAAAGGGTTTTAAAACTAGAGCAGAAATGGGCCATTAGAAGCTACTTTCAAGATACCAACTTCATTTATTCATATATATTTCAAAATTGTCTATTATCTTCATCAGTATGGTCTTGTAATGAAGTTTTGTTGGGGATCCAAAAAGCAGTAGCAATAGCTTGTAGTTTATTGAAGATTTCCATGTTCAAATAATTTTACTAGAAGACATATGTGTCATGAATATATGTAGCATCATAGGAAACTGTGGTATGACTCTGGAACCTTCCATGAAAAAAAATCAGGGAGTCATTTTCCCCATTCCTAGTCTCCTTTATGAAAAGGAGAAGCTGAAATCACAGAGCTTATAACATACCCTTGTGATATTGCAAAAACAATTTTATTCTCTCCTCTGCATAAGATCATTTCTCCCCTCTCTCAGAATTCCTAAGTATATCACAGTTCTTATTAAGGTTAAGTCCCTATGAGCTTTCCAACTTCTTTGTATACAGGTTCATTGACATTGTTCTTGTTAAGCCCTTGTTAAGGCAGTCAAGTTGACAGGACCTCATGGATGCCTCCTCCCTGATATTTGGAGGAGACACAATTTTGTAGAAAACTTCCTGTTCCTCTCACATTTACAATATTTCCATCTAATCATCTACAATTTTCTCTGAACCATAGATCCAAGAATTGTGCTGTGGATAAACCAATTGAGACTTGGCACTATATAACCTCCTGATCTATTTTCATCATTTTAATTAGTTGTGTTTCTTCAATGGTTTCTATCTTGGGAATCTCTCTCTTCTCAGTTGATATTCAACAATATCAACTCCTTCAGGATATTAACATTGTTACATATTTTGTTTTTATATTAAATGATGTGGTACCATTGTTATCATAAGAAACTTCTACATTATTTTAGTTGTATGCAACTTCATTTTAAGGTAATATGCTTTATCTGAGAATTTTAAGTTAATGTTATCAACATACATACAAGTTAAACACTTTTGCCAGTGTACTCTAGCCCAGAACTATTCACCACATATGAGGAAAAGAAAATCACAGAAATTTCTATCCTCATAAGTGTATGTCTTCACATACATAGACACTGTCCTGGATTGAACAGTTATGCTGTAACTAAAGAACCACATGGGTTTATTAGCCAAAAACTGTCTTGCCATTTGCATATTTCATGCTGTAAAACCACAAGTGCCTCAAAGTTCTTTTAAAGAGATGTCCTTATGAGATTAATGAGCTAGTAACCTGAGATTTACTGCAAATGTTCACCTTCCTACTACTCTGTGCCACAGGTAATAGATGGGAGAAACTTTGAGTTCAGGATCCATGATCATTTTCCCCGTGGAGGCATGAGCCTAAGATCAACCACACTGTATTTTGGTTCTTTTGAATATTGTGTGATATGAAGTTATTTTTGCATATCTTCATCTAATTTCTTCTCTTCCTTTTCATTTTTTTCTGGTGATCATAGTGTCAAATGGAGATATTATTCTCACCCAGTCTCCAGAATCTTTGGCCATATCTCAAGGGGAAAAGGTCACCATCACCTGCAGTGCCAGCTCAAGTATAAGCTCCAATTACTTGCACTGGTACCAACAAAAACCAGGAGCCTCACCTAACCTCATGGTTTATAGTTCATCCTACCGAGCCTCTGGAGTACCAAGTCGCTTCAGTGGCAGTGGGTCGGGAACCTCTTACTCCTTCGAAATCAGCAGCATTGAGCCTGAAGATGCTGCCACTTACTACTGTATTCAGGGGAGTGGTAGACCACTCACACAGTGCTACAGACTGGAACAAAAAACCTTTACCTCCCTAGGGCAAAGCTACTTCCTACTAGACACGAAATGTGGGCCAAGGGTACAAGTAACATGGGGAAGAAGCTCCAAGATTTTCTTTAGGGTAGTCAAGAGAACCCAGTTGTCCACAAAATGAAGGAGAAGTGCGCATATATAATTGACAGGACACAGAAACGAATTCTATCTTTTAGTGGCAGTTGCTGTTATACAGATATCTTGAGTGGGATCTCAGTCCTGAATGGGCTTTAGGAGAAATATATACATACATACATACATACACACACAAACACTAACATACATACATACATACATACATATATATGCATATATATATATATATGAAAACTTATAAAAACCCCCACTTGTAAGGTACAATTAGAAAAACAATAGCATTGGTCCAAAACTAAGTCTGATGGTATGCTATTATGCTGTATGACTGTTTCAGAGTAAAGTGCTGCAAAATGAATATTATTATCACATTCAGATTTTCTCTGGTGAAATTGAAGTGGCATAATATTGAATATCTTGGAGTGTGCAATACTATTGACATATGTGCTTGCAACAAACAAACAATTAAAAATATGAGAAAGCTATAAAAGTTCTAAATTATAACAAAAGTCTTCAGTTTTTGCTACTCTGTAGTTCCTTGATCATATTGTGTAAGGCTGAATCACTAGATTAATATATAGAAAATATCTCTTGCCAAAAACCTGGAATGGGAGAAACATTAAGCAAAATATTTCAATATGTCTGCAATAAATGAAGATTCTAGAAAATACATGTTTCCTTCTAGGTATGCCTAATATCTTGGTGAGGACTTAAAAGACTGATTGCCAATTTGAAAAAAAATCACTAAATTCCTAATCCTACATGTTGAATGATGGGGATACCAAATTTTCTTAGTACCCATAAAAATGTTTGCAATGTGAGGGATAGGAGACCGAACACAGTCATAGGAGATGAGGAAAGAAATGCTTTGTTTTAATAAGAAGAAATGTCTGTGTCTGACATTTATATTTATATTTCAATATAAGTAGCTAAGATATTTAATTCATGGTATATTGTCACTGCTGTATTTGTAACACCCCTCACGCGTCACTCTATCTCTGTCCACCTGACCTTTCCCCCACTTGTCAATGAAAAAACTTCCTTGGTCACTCTTTTATAAAGGCATTTCTTATTTCATTTATTGCATACCTCATTAAGCCTTGGCAATCTTGGTACATCCATATGCTTAATTCATGAAGGTAAAATGTTATTGCACATATCTGTAGTAAACATGGATTTGAGAGTAGAAAGACATCTTTGGTACTTCCTGAATATTGGCATCTTTTGAGGTACCAGGCCCCTTTTAGGGATCCCTCACAGGATCTAGTCAGACTCTACAGTCAGTGCAGGAAATATAAGGGGGTCTGAGGGAAAAATTAATTCATACACAATTGTTCCTCTGCATGTTTCTTTATTCTTCTATCTCTCCATGTAACAATGTTTATATATCCTTACAATCAGCAATTTTCCAGCCCTACCAGAGTCCAGGGCTAGAATTCTTTTGTACCATAAAAGACAGATGAGAGTCTTAACATAGGGGAAGTCCTGGTTGTCAGCTCAAAGGTGGGAGTGGCTAGTGAATGTCCCTGTAAACTCCTTATGGGAGAAGAAGGTTAGTTAAAAGAGATTAAATCATCAGGGAGCTATAGAAATTGAGATTAGTGTGCTAAAGTATATATGCAAATGGTTAGATACAAAGCTAAAGTTTATATTTAGTAAAAATCATGATTAAGGAAAATATTGTCTTATTACTCAGCAACTGCTTTTCTCCCAGTATGCATAGGGAGTTTTGAGTAACCATACAGCCAAATAAACATCAAAGAAATACAAGCAAGCAGCTTCTAGTTTACTATCATGCTTTTTCTATGCCTTCCTACTATGAAAACTTTTAGCATCAATTTCTGAGGCTTGTATGTTAAAGAGAGGATCTAAGGTTTATTTCCACAAGAAACAGAGCCTGGGATCTTCCTGAGGATGAGCAAATGGGCTGATTTCCTTTGTCATTATCTTCTTTGGGGAAACACGAGTAGTAAATCTATGAGATATATCTTGGTTGAATAAACTCTGATGATCAAGTTGGCACTCCCACGAGCAGTGGAGGAGTGTTCCCCTTTCTCCACATCTTCTGCAGCATAAACTGTCATTTGTGTTTCTGATTTTAGCCATTCAGACAGGAGTGGGATATATCTCAGTTTTTTTAATTTACATTCCCGGATGGCTAATTTATAGGTAAATACAAGAAGTTTAAGAATCTTTTAGTGAGGGGTTGGTTTATATTGTTCTTCTCTATTAGCCAATGAGGTAGAGTCATGGCTTGCTTATTTTTTCTATATATCTGGGCAGCTATGAATCAATAGCTTTAGTGTGTAGTAATTCTATGTCCTTGGATATCAGGGGATGTCTTAGACAGAATGCTTGTGCCTGGGACCTAAATACTAACCAAATGCCTACCAATAAGGATAATTGCAGGAAGTCAGATTTCTTTGATTAAATAAGAAATGAAAGTAAGTACCTGGTAGTGGGGATTAAATCTCATACATAGCAAAGGAATGTAATCAGTAAACTAAGACCTGCTATAGGAAAATAGGTTTCAAACACGGCTCTAAATGCATGGGAGAAATTGTTTACAGTAAATGATCATATAGTGCTAAATTATGGGAAGTAAATACCAGGTTTGTTACAGAAAGGTATAAAATGCTAGAAGGATCTACAACAAGAAGCAGTTACTTTCATTCTTTTTTCCCCTGATTTTCTTTTCTTTTTGTATTTTTTAATTTGAATTAGAAACAAGCTTGCTTCAATGTCAATCCCAGCTCCCTCTGCCTCCCCTCCTCTCCTGCCCCCACCAAGCCCCTCAACCTCCCACCCAGTCCCCACTCTGCTCCCCAGGGAGGGTCAGGTCTGCCATGGGGTATCTCCAAAGTCTGTCATATCTTCCAGGGCAGGGCCTAGACCCCTCCCCCAATGTGTGCACACCATTACATTGTAGACTATTTTCAACTGAATTTTAATGATACTCCTATCCACATAATGCTATCTTAAAGATAATAAAACACAGAACCTTTATCTCAACAAGACCATTCCTAGAAGATTCAAGTTAGAGGACTGGAGAAAAACCATTACAAATTATTGTTTTTAAAACATTTTTCTATATTTTCCTCATCTTTATTATTTTTATTTAGGTTAGAAACAATTTTGTTTCACATGTCAATCCAAGCTCCCTCTCCCTCACCTCCTCCCCTTTGCTCCCACCAGGTTCCCCATTCCCCCACCCAGTCTCCAGTCTGAGCCCCAAGGAGGGTGAGGCCCTCCATGGTGGATCTCCAATAACTGTCATTTCATCTAGGGCAGGGCCTATGCCCTCCCCCAAGACTTCCGGCTGAGAGACCCTCGTATATTGTGGCATGGGCACTCAAAGTCTATTTGTACACCAGGGATATGAATACTACGCAAGGACCCATCGATTACCTAGGCCTCCTCAGTAACACCCACATTTAGGGGGTCTGGGTCAGTCCCATGCTTTCCACACAGCCATCAATCTGGAGTTCAAGAGCTCCCACTTGTTCAGCTCAGCTGTTTATGTGGGTTAAACAAGTCCATTCTTAACTCCTTTGACCATCAGTTCTGTCTTTCTGACACTGGTTCCAGCAGTTCAGTTCAGTGTCTGTCTTTGGGTATCTGACTATGATTTCATCATTTGCTGGATGAAGGTTGTTTCCTAGACACTCTGGCAGTGGGGCAGTATGCTGGCACTATGCTGATTCATGTCTAAAATCCATAAATGAGTGAGTACATACCATGGTTGTCTTTTTGTGACTGGGTTACCTCACTCAGTATGGTTTCTTGTAGTGCCTTCCATTTGCCTGTAAGTTTCAAGATTGCATTGTTTTTTTCCTGCTGAATTGTACTCCATTGTGTAAATCTACCATATTTTCTCTATCCACTCTTCAGTTGAGGGCATGTAGGTTGCTTCCAGGTTCTGGCTATTACAAATAATGCTGCTATGAATGTAGTGGAACAGACATCCTTGTTGTATGAATGTGCATCTTTTGTGTATATGCCTTAACAGTAGAATTGCTGGGCCTTGTGGTAGACTGATTTCAGTTTTCCTGATGAATCTCCATACTTATTTCCAAAGTGGCTGTACAAGCTGCCACTCCTACCAGCAGTGTAGGAGTGTTCCCTTTTCTCTACATCCTCTCCAGCATAAACTGTATTTGGAGTTTTTGATTTTAGCCATTCTGACAGGAGTGAGATGGTATCTCAGAGTTGTTTTGATTTTGCATTTCCCAGATGGCTAGGGATGCTGAGCACTTTCTCAAGTGTCTCTCAGCCATTTTAGTCTCCTCTATATAGACACCCCCATGGAGGGCCTCACCTTCCCAGGGGAAATGAGGGGATATTTGGGGGTTTGGGGGGGAGGGCATGGGAGGAGGAGAGGGAAACGGAGAGGGACCTGGAACTTACATGTGAAGCAACCTTGTTTCTAATTTAAATTTAAAAATAAATAATAAAAATTATTTCCTTAAAAAAGAGAAATCTCTATTTAATTCTGTAACCCATTTTTGATTGGATCCTTTGGTGATTTGGAGACTTGTTTCTTGAGTTCTTTGTACATTTTGGAGATCAGTCCTTTGTCAGATGTGGGGTTAGTGAATATATTTTCACAATCTGTGAGGTGCCTTTTTGTCTTGCTGATTATGTCCTTTGACTTACAGAAGCTTTTCAGTTTCAGGAGGTCCCATTCATTAATTGTTGATCTTTTTGTCTGGGCTACTGGAGTTAGGTGCAGTAATCTGTCTCCTGTACCAATTCGTTCAAGGGTGCCTCCCACTTTCTCTTCTCACAGGTTCAGTATGACTGGATTTATGTCGAGGTGTTTGATCCATTTGGAGGCAAGTTTTCTGCATGGTGATAGACATTGACCTATCCCCATTCTTATACATGCAAGCATCCCGTTATGCCAGCACCATTTGTTAAAGATGCTTTCTTGCCGGGCGGTGGTGGCGCACGCCTTTAATCCCAGCACTCGGGAGGCAGAGGCAGGCAGATCTCTGTGCATTCGAGGCCAGGCTGGACCGATAGCCT